TTTAATCAACATATACAGACCATAACATCGGGAGCATTTTGCTGTAACAGTTACAACTTTAAGGGAAATTGTCTGATGAATTTATTTTTATATGTTTAAAGTGAAGTGCATTAAAAGGACAATTATTGACTCGAATTTCATAGCAAGTTTTGGACTTAACAAACAAATGCTTCCGATAAGAAGCGTCCGAAATCCCAGAACCTATTTGAAAATGGCGTAAAATGCAGGCACTTGCTCAATGAAGTAAACGGTGATTTGACAACTTGATGTAAAAAAAGTGTTCGGACCGGATTTAGTTTGTTCTTTATAACGGAACAACTTGCAGGTACTAACTTGTATTGAAAATTTGAACAGAACATTGAGAACAGAAGAGGAGATCCGGGAGCTTGTGCTTAAGACTCACTTTCCTGGATCAATACTAGGAACAGTCGGAGAATAGGAGATAGATCTATAGGTGGTTTTCGGGGCGCGACAGCGGACATCGAAAAGGCGCTGGACTTTTGCCTCTAGGATTGTAAACCAGTCCAAAGTTAAATGGGCCATAAGTTCTTTCTGACCATTTAAATCACCGGGAACAGATGGCTTCATGTCAGTTCTGTTACAACAGGGAGCCGATTTACTTGTGCCCCTTTTGTGCAAGATGCCCCGGCCAGCCTGGCTCTGGCTTACATACGAATGGAATGGAGAATGGCGAAAGTAGTATTTATTCGAAAACCAGGGCGGGCGACGTATTCCCAAGCCAAATCCTTTCGCCCGATCAGCCTAACATATTTCTTACTTAAAACACTAGAAAAGCTGATCGTCAGGCATATCAAGGAAGAGAGTCTCATCAGAAATCCTCTACACCACAACAATATGCCTACCAAACGGGAAAATCCTGCAAATCTGCTATCCATGAACTGGTGGAGAGGGTAGAAGCCTCACTAGGGCGCAAAGAAATTGCTCTGGCTGCGTTGGCCTTGAAATCGTGGATTGGATCCTTCAATATGTGAATGAATTCAAGACATGCTGAGTTGCAGAACAGTTACTGTCGCCCTCAATGAAGTCAGCGTTAAAGCTGTTGCGTTGAAGGAGTTTTGTCGCCTCTGCTGTGGAGCCAGGTGTTGGACCGGCTTCTGTTGTCTCTTGAAGGGAGGGGTTTCTACGCACTGGGATATGTGGATTGAAAGCTGATCGAATCAAAAGTCCGGTACCTTTCAGAACATATGTTCTGAATGAGGGGCGAGATGGTGGAGCCACTCCATAAGCTATCACAGGGGGCTCCGTATGGTATACGGAAGGCACAGAAACAGCGTCGGGCACAGGCGCTGGTATAGTCGAAAGAGGAAGAACTGGGGAAAGAATTACCGTAAACATGGGTACAATCACGACTGCTTTCCAAGCAAGTGTACTAGCGATAACAATTTGCTCCCGGAAAATGAGGGGAAGAACCTACACACGTAAGCATATTACCACCGTAACCGAAGCTGAAGCCGCAATAAAGGCATCGAATGTGTGCTAGATTGTATAATCTTTGAGCAGTCATCTTCGTCATATTGTGTTGTTGACAAATCAAATGCCCCCGAAATTCGTTTTCGCTTTTGCATGTTCCTAATATACAGGGTGATTCAAAATTGGCGTCATTCCTCTGGAGGTGTTATCTGGCGCTGTTATAGGAGTACCGAATAAATAGTAAAAGAAATTAATTGTTATTAAAAACTGAGAAATTTGCAAAAAACTATATCAGAAATACGGCAGCAATGTTTTTCAAGGTAATCTGGCTAATTAACATTGCGCAAATACCTGTTGCTTCGTAATCATTAAAAACTCCGGTAACCATGGAATTATACAGAGTGACAATAAGATAGACAAGAATAAACGGTAAATTCAACAAGATTCGTTGACTGCGCAACGTACTTTCGAAATGTCAACCTGTTCTCAAAACCTCAAATATTGGTGTTTAAAAATAAACCATACAACACCAAACATTTGAATGGTTAACTGCAAACAAGCTAATTCCTGTGTAATCTCCTTATTATCCACTCTTATCAAGCAGCTTCTCGTATTCAGTTAATTAAATCCTGCTCCATTTGTATCTCCTTGTGCTGTGTGTATCGTACAAACGTGGTAGGAATGTAGCCCTTCCTCGGTATTTATTTGGTGCTTGGGAAAGT